GAAAGTGTTGTAAAAACAAGTTTATTTTTTCATGGTAGTTTCTTGTTATATAAAAATACTACAGTTTAAATATAAAAATCTAACCGGAAGACCAACTGGCTCATTATCAAAAATAAATATCTAGAATCTTCACTCATTGTTATTTCCAAAATTTGAAAACACTATTATGATATAAAGCATTATTATAGATATAGCCAATACAGAGCATATTTTTTTAAATAATGATGAATCTTTATTTTGAAAAGTATTGACTATAATAAGGGAATTAAACTACATTTTATCATAATATAATATAATCAGTGTTGGGCAAATCGTAATCTGATTAATGATTAAAGATTATGATTAAAAATTGTAGTTGTTAATCATAATATAAATTAATGTAATCAATAATCACAATAATAAATTATTTTAGATGATTAAAGTCATAATGTAATCGTAGTATTGATTACGATTACAAAATATGTTAGTTCGTAATCATGACTAATTTTTAATGATTAATGATTAATGATACTTCAATAACGAATTTGGGCTGAATAACTTATATATTGAAGTACTGTCATAGCCGAGCGGCATAAGACGGCTGTGCGTAAACGGACACTAGTCGGACAGTCACTGGTGACTGGTTCGAATCCGGCAACCGGTGGTTTCGCTTTCCGGGCGATGTTATAAATAAATTTAACACGTGAAGGCAAAATTAACAATAAAAAAATAAAAAAAATGCATCTTATAAACAAAATACTTTCTTTTAATTAACTTATTAGAAAATAGAAATCAATAAATATAATTAATAATATGATAATAATAATACAATTTAAATAGTAAATTCGATTTTTTTAGGTAGGTACATGCTATATAACAACTAGAAAAAATCTATAGAAAAATACCTTATAACATGCATAAGATAAGACATATGAAATTAATTAGACTTAATGGACCTTAATATCGTTGATATTTTGGAAATTCATACTATTTTAAGTAATATCATATAAAAAAAAAAACAGTTTTGCGATAAATTTTGCGATAAAGATTAACGATTACAAATATGTAATCATGATTACTGATTACTTTGAGAGATGATTAAACGATTAATGATTAATGTAATTCAATAAAGTAATCGTAATCGATTACGTAATTTAATCGTAAATTAATCGATTACGCCCAACACTGAATATAATCATGTACATTGCCCATTGTCAGTACTAGCATCCCAAACAAAAATAAAAAATTAGCAAACTCTCCAAAATAAATTCCCAACAAAAACCTTGTTTGGTATAAACAGCTTCACAACGACATGGATCACACTCTACCTATATACAATGTGTCCCGGGGTGAAGTGACCGGCCGACGTCATATGAAAGTATACCCAAAATGATGAAGAAATACCCTTTAAAGAGTGGGTTTAACTTTTTTATTTTTTAAGTTATGAGCAGTTAACTTTTTTTTATCAAAACCAAACCTATCACACATTTTTTTTATGTATCTTCAAAACTAATCAACATTTTGACGTAATTTTTTTTTATCATAAAGCTATTTAAGTGTTCTATCAACCAACGTACGCAATTAAACCAGAAATGAACAAATTATTTTTATTAATTTGAAAAAGTAATCATTTTTATCAAAAATTAATATTATTAAAGGAAAATTACGTATAACTCCAAAAAATTAAGGCCGGGGCTATACACGGGGTATTTCGCCGCGTTTTCCGTAGAATTAAAAACGCATTGGTTTAAATCGGAGCAGCTATACACGACGGGCGTAATACGCCGCGTTTTCCGCCGCGGTGTATAGCCGCAGCCTAAGTATTTACCATGGGTTCTTTCCTTATTGTATTATTCTGTAAAATGACAACACTACAACAAAAATGTACCGAATAAAATAAAATTAATCGATTAACGACCAATTAACGACCGATACTCGATTCTAAGAAAATCAAGATTGTAACGACATAATTCTGCAATCTTGGAAGATACTAAAGCCAAACTTAATTTATTCTAGGTATTATTCAGTACAATAATACAATAAGCAAAATACCCATAGTAAATACTACAAAGAACCACGAAGAGTGAAGACCATAATCAAACATCAAACAACTTATATGTGTCTGGCTGTGGACGTAAAAATTGTTTGGATAAAACCGTTCGGACTTGACGGCGAAAATACCGCAGTGCGAGACCTAGCGCAAAAAAGTTTTTAGTAGGTATGTGTTGAGGGGAGACAACTGGTATGCGGGTCTACATGAGTACATGACGTATGACACAATAATATTATTATATTATAACATTAATTATAAATACTAATGAAAACTGTGAATTTATTGCATTTACGTGATTTTTTGTTTAATAGTTAGTAACAATTAACTTTAAGTTCTATATCAAAATTTGGTTTGCATATTTAACTGATATTTAACTGCGTAGTTACTTTAATTATTCATATTTAACTAACTAAGCATATTTGTATAGTTAATAGCAGACACCCTTCTGTACTAGCAATATAGAAAAGAATTAATTGTTATTTGGTTATAAAAGTTGTTTTAGACTCTGTGCAGTGCACATAAATGTATTGATTTTACAATGATGTGTGTTTTTTTTTTTATTTTTATTTTTTTTTGTGTGTGTCATCACGTTTTAGGACAGTAAAAGTGCTTGGATTTTCTTCAACAGTAGCTTTTCTGATATTATCAATCATTGTAATTAATAAATTATAAAATGTTCAGTTTTTATAGCTAAGGATTGCATATTTAAACAAAGGTTCTTATAAATAGTTCATACTGTAACCAAAAAATCTAAAAAATATACGAACACAGTTATTTTTTACAGACATTTTAAATTCAAATTTGGACGAAATTACATAATAAAAAACCTAGAATAACTATTTTAGTTATTTTGTTGTGATTGTATAATATTATTCGTGGGTACTTGAAACTTCTAAAGTATACTACTATATATCTATGATAGTATCAGGGTTTGTTGTTGGTGTATAACGCGTTATAAGTACCTAATGGATATTGTGATATGATTAATTTGGAATTTATTATAGGTCAATTTTTTTTAATACCATAGATATGTAAATAATATGTCTTATACCTAGAGTCTAGACTGACATACCGTCTCCGCTCAGAATCGTTTTTCTTATACAATGATATTATATCATTGAATTCAAAATCCATTATACAGTGACCCACTTGTAACCTACTGTACAGCAGAGCACCTTTTTTTAATTCAATTTTAAATTTTTGTGCCTATAATCACCTTTTGGGGCAGTAAAATGCTTTGATTTTCTACTTTAGCATCTTTTCTACTAGGAAATTGAATATCTAGTTGGTACTTTGGAGAATCAAAAGTAAACAATTCTTAGTATTTTTCAGAAGTTTTGGGAAACACAAAAACAAATATAAGTTAAAACGGTGATTTTTACTTAAAACCAGTTTTTGATAAGATCGATTTAGTTTTTTTGATAAAAATATAAACCATAGAAATTAGAAACATTAAATTTTCATCAATTTTATATATGACAACATAATGACATTTTCAAAATATTTTGACTGAGCTTCTTATTGCTATGACAAAATATCAAGTTTTTCAAAGTTTTTTTCAGTTATTGTAGATAAATTATTTTTCGTTCGGTCAAAAACTTAAAAATTGAATATAAGATTACTCATAAGTTAGTGTATGATAAAAAATAAAGTTACTTTAATAGCATTATATACGTAACAATAATATCATAAGAATATACTGTATTAGGAAATAGTAGTATACGCTGACAGACAGGTCTTCGCTCAAAATCGTTTTTCGTAGGTCTACAATGATTTTTCATAATTGAATTCAAATTTATCACATCCATTATACAGTGTTTACAGTACCCGCTTTTTTTCATTCTAATTTTACTTAAATGAAGGTTACCTATAAAATGTATTACTAGTTATAATTATAGCCTATAGGTACCTATATTCAAGCCCGGATTAAGAAACTTTGAGGCCCAGGGGCCAAAGATGTAAGTGAGGCCCATGCCGCTGTACAAAAAGAGTAATAATAATGTATAGATTATGTACCTATTTAATAAATGTACATACTATATAGGTACATAGCAGTAAATAATGATTAAATGTATCACTTTATTTATAAATTATAATTTACAAGCTTTTTTCCTCGCTTATGTTTGACAAAATCCTTTAATAATTATTTCGTTATTTATTGTTTGAAGAATATAGTTTTCAGATTCCAGTATCATAAGCGCAGTCAAATTTTCTTAGTTTAAGGTTGATCTGTAATCTGTAATTATTCTTAACTCAATTGAGTTTTGAAAAATCTCTTTCGAGTGAATTGTTTGAACTTGGGTATAGTTAAATACATTTTAAGTGCAATATATAAATATGGAAAATCATGAATTAATTAATTTTCAATAAATCATTTCCAAAGATCAAGTATACTAAAATGTTAGTCTTTAATTGATTGTCTGCATGACTGCATAAAAAATAATACTCTTGAAACAGTGTTATTTCATTTTTATATAAAAAATAAATATCTTCATCTTTCTTATATGTCAATATATTCTATAAAGTTCTTAATTCTTTCTTCGATATCCTTTCCTTTATAAGTTGTGTTAACAATTGGAACACACAAGCACAACTTAAATTGTAACAAATAAAAAATTATAAGCCTCAATTTGTTTGTCTAGTTCAAAGCAAAATTGATCGATAATTATGTTGTGATTTCAATTCTAAACTTACTCCCCATTTCACCACCATAATGTGTGTAGAAATATTCGGGTAGATAATGTACATATTAGTCATTACATTTATATTTTATAGTACTATATACTGCATATTATTATGAGTTATTGTAAGGGGTCTATTTAACTGTAGTGGGCCCCCTGGACCACCCTACCTTAAGCCGAGCTTGCCAATAATATTAAAACTTTTAAATTGTTTTTATTTTTAGAGCATATTTTGACATTTTCTTAGTGCACAGCCGACAGCCCTGACTTATATAAAATATAAATACCTAAAAACAGTTTGCGAACAACCATCGTTGACATCATCTTGTTTGTCGACAACTCGTCGACGAAAACGCGTGCATCTGCAGCGATCAGTGCGAATCCGTGGTCGGGTAAACGCATCCTTTAACGATCAACGGCACCAACCGATTTCCGTTAGTGTAAATTAATAACAATATTATCAATTATTATTATTAATATCCGGAATCCGTGTAGCTGCTGTAGGTCACCGGAGTGTTGGTCAGGTACTCGGGTGCATATAATGTATGTAGGTACCTATAAGCTGATCATGTCAAAAGCATACGCACTGTCACGACGGTCGTAAACGACGTAAGCTATCGCAAACGATCGTAGACACCAATATTACTCGTCGTGTGCGATGGAAAGATACAATAATAACAAACTATTGTAATGTTTTGTGTGTTATTTATCAGCGGAAGCCGGACGTGGTGTAGGTACTGTATCGTAGTTTCGACGATCGCGTCCCGGATTGAATTTTTTTAAATATGAAACATGTATACTCGAGACTAGGCGACTCGCGGCCTCACAATAGCCAATTGGTATTATATTATTATCATATAGGCTATACTATAATAATGTACCGTCGTACGAACGACGCACGCGAAAAGTCGAAACGGTAAAACTTTTGACGGGACACCCTTAAAACAAAATCGATTATAATACTGTGCATGAGACGCATAAAATATGTTATCGTTTCCGTCGTCGTATTGTTGACTGTTGTTGTAATATTATAGTTTTACGTAATAATAACAATAATATGCAAAACGTCAATAATAATTATTAATGGCAATAATACGATTGATGTCCGTCCGGGCGACGTGTACAACGTTTATGTCGGTGCCGCACTCGGGCAGCCACTGCGGCGATGTATGCCGCTTGAGCATAATCATCTGCGACACTACAATGCGCGGTACAATATTTTACAAGTACTTCGTACTGTCATACCTAACATTCACCTATTTCACGATCGGAACGCGTCGCAGCCGAGGAATTTAATGAACGGGGAAAACCGAAGCGACGTAGCGTGTGCCTGATTGCCTGGGCGGTGGTTGCGGCGGTGGCCGTCGTCTAGCAAATTGTAATCGTTATTATGGGTGTATCGTATATCATCATTATTATTATTATTATTATTATATCGCATCGACGCCGCCGCCGATGTTGGCGGTAGGTCGTTTAAAAAACAAGTGGCGGGGCGGTCGTTTCCCGTCGGGTATTTCCCTGAGCTGAGGTCACACACCCGCCGCCGCCGCAGCGGGCAGCAGCTACATAATAATATATACACGTGCGGATCGTTGAGTGCAGAGAGCGAATATACGACGACGCACATCACGGTCGTTCGGTTTTCAAATCGCTGGCCATTTATTTTTTCCCCCGGAAATATTATTATAATAATATTAAAATATAGTTTTTCCCGTAAAACTGCACAAGCGTAAATTGCGCGAATACTTGCATTATTCCGAGCATACAACTATTACAACCGTATGCATATAATATTATCACATTGTTATACTTCGGTTTATTGAGGCATGCGTAAAAAACCACACGCGTTTCAACTTTCACCCCAACACGTGTGTTAGTACTTCCGTTATGCGTACTGCACCAACAACGCATAATGTACCTACCTACCTAAATTATTGAGTCGCAGTTTACCCACGATTGTGGGAAACCGAATTCTTTGATTGTACCACGAATCACGATGTAGATAATAAAATATTAATATTATTATTGTCTATATCGTGGATTGTACCTACGCCGTACACGGTACACTCGCGATATCGTACCTATCGTTTGACTTAGATTCCGAGGGAGCGAATGTCAGAAATACCCACTGAACGCGCGTAGGTATCTTAATCGTTGTGTATCACCCAAAATCCCCGGAGGTACTGTATTTAAGCCGGTTTGTCCGGAAAAATAAATTGTTGACTCATGTATCCGCAGTCCGCACTGTGTTCAAACGTCAAAGTATATTCGATAATACCATTAAAGTCCATAATAATACGTCTTCCGTTAGGTGTTAACATTTTAATATGATATAATATAGTAAACAATATACTTAATATACTCATATTATATGCCACCACTCACCAGTTAAAAAAAGTAAATCATTGTGGGCATTGTGGCCCATAGGAGATAGGCCACCGTCTACATTATAATATAATGTATTATTATTTATTATTATGTAGAATATGAAGGCATATCAAATTCATTCATGTAAGCTATAATAATATTCTCAACATTGTTCTACCCAAAAGCTGAATTGTTTTTCTCTCTTTTACCACCGAAGTTGCTTACATAATATTATAATATAGACATGTAGTCGCCGTGTATGGTTGTAAGAGTGGTTTATTTATACCTCGTTATAATATTAATTTATCATATATTCATGTATATGTATTGTATCCATATATTAATTTTCCTTGAAAGTTGAAGGTAATTCTACAACGTTTACATAAATGTGTTTTTATTAATGAATAATGCATAAAAAGTTAAACATGCACGGGCTATGCATTTTTATATAGACTTAAAGTAAATTCATATTAGATTTTGGTTATAATTTAAAGTGTGACAGTAGGTACCTATGTTTATTGAACATTTGAAAAATGTATCATGCATGCATGCATGTTGTATAAATACTCGTATATCAATATAGGATATATTTAATTATGGTTTATATTATAAATTATAATAAGTATAGTGTATACAAACACACAATGTCACAATATGACGTAAAGCCTTATAGGAAATAGGAGGTAAGTGCGTTACAATAGTAAAATAGATTTCTTACAATACATTTAATATTACGATTCACTTTACGTTAACTTTTTTTAATTCTTGCAAGATCAACATTTGAGGAACTTTATATTACTTTCCAAGCCTAAGGTATTAAAATCTAAGATTTTAGGTATTTTGATACTGAAAACGAATTTGAAGTTCTTATGATATATTTTTTTTTTTGAAAATATAGTTATAGTTATTATTTAATATCTTTACTTTTTTTAAGTCAAATTTTTGTGAGTGAATGTCCAAATTTGTTTAAAATTTGTTGTATGAAGTATGTAAATAAGAGTATAGACAATAAAGAATCAGCATGCAAACTTGTTTTCAAAATCCATATCACGTAATTAGATTGATCATAATTTTATTCAGTACGTTGCCGAATGAAAATAGGTCTTATTACTTTTAGTATGCAACCAGTCCATTTCGAATCTTTCAAGTATTAGGTATTTAAAATAATGTTTTTCAAACCGGGGTGGCAATAATACAATTGATCCAATAAATTTACAAAATTATAATTAAATATTTCTAAATGTTGACACTGACATATGAAATAATATGTCCCTTTCATACAATAAATTATAACATTTAAAGAAATAATCATTAATCATAAATAGATTTTATTGAGTTATAAAGGAAATATTATATAAATATTTTATATAATATTATAATATATAGTGATAACTGATAACATAGGTTATGTTACATTGCAATTCATACAATATACGATGATGTTTCGCTTTAGGCGTTTACTGTTTATTCATATTAGTGTGTTGGCGTATTGTGTATTAGTATATATGACGAAACTGTTGTTTTTCATGATACAATAGTGAATAGAATGTAAACAAGTGTACAACAGTCAACAATCAATATTTATTATTTACATTGTCCGCTTCATTAAATAAGTATTTTTAAACTTATATTTATAATTTGTAATAATTTCTTACTAGTTACTACTTAGTACTTACTAATATAAAGGATGGGTATTAACGAGTTAAAAAGTTAAAGTTAAATTACATTTTTTTTAGACTTAAAATATGTTGGTCAGGTACTCAGCTACTCTGGTGCGTATAATGAATGTAACAGTATATAAGTATATTATACACGATCATGTCAAAAGCATACGCACTTGCTTAACAGTCTTAAACAACGTAAACCATCGCAAAATCGGTAGACAACAATACTACTCGTCGTGTGTGGTGGAAAGATAACAATAATAAATAAACTATTGTAATTTTTTATGTTATTTATTGGCGGAAGCTGGAAAGTGGTGTACTACTGTACTGTACCTATATACCTAGTTAGTTACGGCGATCTTATCCCGGATTGAATTTTTTTTAAATATGAAATAGGTGTACCGTCGTCGTGACTCGCGGCCTCACAATAACCAATAGGTATTATATTATTATTACTATAATAATGTACCGTCGTACGAATGACGCAAGCGAAAAGTCGAAACGGTAAAATGTTTGGCGGGGTGCCTTGAAACAAAATCGCTTATAATATTGTGCACGAGACGTATAAAATATGTTATCGTTGCCGTCGTCGTATTAATTGTTGTTGTAAATTGTATTATATTATTATAGTTTTACGTAATAATATTAATAATATGCAATACGTATACTTAGGAGGTCTCTTGGCCAATTAGATTTTATGTGGGTGACTGTGGCTGTCCAAAACCAGGGTTTTGCACCCGAATTAACCTGAACCCCTAACACCTCTAAAAACTCGTAAAAAACCAAACACCCGAATTAACCAAAACCCGAATAAAACATTCTGGTTAAGCCTATTTTTTTTCACAATCTGCATGTGATATATAATTTTGTATATATTTCTGGTGGTGAGTTTGATTCTGTAGTTAGTTGTTTAATAATGGGCGCTTGTAAATTGCGCCCACATTAAGCGGGTAATCAAAATACTATAGTAAATTGCGGCCGTGATTTTTTGGTTTCTAAAATAGGTATAGTAAATTGCGCCCTGGATTTTTCGGGGTCTAAAATGGGTATGGTAAATTGCGCTCATAGTACCCAAGCGACTGAATTCATCGTTACCTATTATGTGTATTTTAAAAATACCGTTGTTCAATTATTGGTGGATAAGCCGAACGTTTATCGCTATCATCGTTATGATATTAGCGATATCAATGCCTTTACGCATATATACAATGACTTTACGTATAGGTAATATTTTAGTAACCCGTTTGCGTGCAGCAGTGAAACATGGATATTATAATATGTAGGCACTGGATTTACCCAGAAAGAAAATTATGTTATAATCTACCAAACTTATAAAGTTATAAATATTCAAAATTAAAACTCGAGTTGTCT